GTCCAGGATGATGGTGTTGAACACTGAGCTGAAGTCCACAAAGAGGGCCCATGCATAGGTCCCTGGGGAGTCAAGGTGTTGCAGGATGTAATGCAGTGCTATGTTGACTGCATTGTCCACTGACCTGTTTGCCTGGTTGGCAAACTGCAGGGGATCCAGCAGGGGGTCTACAATGTCCTTCAGGTGGGCTGACACCATCAATATTTTAGAACAGCTGATTCTGATTTTCTCCCTCCCTTACTGTATGAATGAAGCAAAGAAATGTATTTCTGGCTGCAGCACACAAAAAAGCAGCAGAAGCCAAACATGCACATAGAATGTGAACTGAACACAAAAGACAAAATTCTGATATATGAAAAATGTCAAAACCACAAAGGTCGCTCTCTCTTTTCCCCAAACAAGTCTTGTATCTCGACAGCTGAGTACAACTTTCTGCAACTTGCGCACAGCTCTCACAGACAAAGCCAGTATTGTTTCAAATGTCATATCTACAAAATGATTTTTTTTCCACTGACTTTAATCTTTTCTTTCCTTAACCCACTGATCTGACTACCACGACGCCATCGCGGTGCCTCCATCAGATCATGACAGCGGTCCTCACCACCCGCTCCACCCCACTCATCCTGGCCGGCATGGCCATGGAGCGCTACATCTCCATCTGCTTCCCCTTGCACTACAGCCAGATGTGCACCATCCCTCGCACCCTCTTCCTCATCTGTGTCGTCTTCATCCTCACTGCGACCCCACCCATCACCGACCTCCTCGTCACCATCGTCAAGGAGCCACCAAGTTTCTTCAGCACCATCATTTTCTGCGACCACTCTGGTCTCTTTCGTGACTGGGCCATCTACTACAAGAACTGGGTGTTTGACGGGACGTACCTCTCCTTTGTGGCTCTGACGCTGCTCTACGCCTACTGTAAGATCATGCTAGCAGCACGAGCTGCGTCAGCAGGCCTGGCCTCGCTGAAGAGAGCGAGGAACACTGTGCTGCTTCATGGGGGTCAGGTGGGTATCACAGGCCAAAACAAAAGTGTGCAAATAAGATTAATAATTATTCTTCACTGTTTAAGTGTTACAACTGTTTTTGTCTGTTACAAGTCAAAACCCGCCCAATGAGAAAGGCCTATTAGGAGACAATATGGAAACTTTCACACCTAATCCTTATCCCTCTAAAAGGGCAAGAATTGAGAACATCAGGATATTCAAACAAGGGGGGGAAACACCAATTGTGCATTTCTAAATAGCAAATTCAATTTTCAAGATCGATTCACCTACAGTAGATCAGCAGATAGTCCTCATCGCTCTGAGTGTCAGGAATCGACATGTAAAGCTGCCGATGATATCACGGGGTGAACTCAATTATAGATTATATGATACAGATATGATACTGAAAACTACACAGCTCGAAACATGCTCTCAGGTCGTTAATACAGTCCAGGGTCAGAGCCAGTAAACTTACACAGCCGAGGGATCCACAAACGAGGGGTCAGAGAGGGGAGTCTGACAATCCATACACGGAAAAACTGTCCAAATCAGAAGGGTAAGGCAAAACTCAGTGGCCTCAAGGTAGTCCGTGGTCAGAGCTGGAATAACAGGTACAGACAACACTGGTCTGAACATAAGTTAGAACAATCAAGAACAACAAAGAGGTGAAAACAGGTGAAAACAATGAGTGTTGATTAAAGTAAAAAGTCCAAACCTAAGGTGAAACAGAAACAGGAAGTAATGTCAAAATAAAAGCATGAGAACAGAAGCCAACAGGACAGAATCATGACACCGAGGCCTTGTTTATTCATAATTTGTCCATAAAGGGTCAGAAAATGCCCAACACAGCAACACATTCAAATGTCTTTCTTTGTATGACTAATCTCATATAGAAACAGAAAAGGAACATTTTCACATCTGAGAAGCTGAAGTAAAAATCATTAGCATTTTTATAAACAATGGATCCATTTTGTCTGATTAACTGATTGTTTAAGCAAAAACAGTTTTTCAGATTGAATGGATCACCCATAAATTGTCCTTTTATTCAAACTGAAGATTAACAGCTCAGTAATCAATACTCTATTAGCCAATTGCTATTTATCTGGTATTAATGAAGATGATTGCTTACAGTACTTACTTTTGCGAGGCTTTGGCATTTGTACATCACAACTGTACAAGCTCAAAGATCTTAGACCTGACAGTCAAACAAGTTTACTGTTCATCATCATAACTATTAAACTCTTCCTACACTTCTGCACCCCCCCCAAATCCTTTTCTTTCAGCTGCTGCTCTGCATGCTCACCTTTGTAGTTCCCTCACTTCAGGCTGCTCTGATCTCCCTCTTCCCCCACCTGAGTATGGAGATTCGTTACATCTTCTTCCTGCTTGTATACATCATCCCTCGTTTCTTGAGCCCTATGATCTATGGTTTTCGAGACGAACAGTTCAGGAAATTCTGGGCCCGGGACCTGGCTTGTCGGAGCTGCGGTATATTCAGGGTCAGACCGGTGCTATTGAAAGTGAACCTGCAGGTGAAGTAACTACACCTGGAAATTTCAAGATGAGGCCAAGTGACCGCCAGTCCACTGCACATGGGGCAGCTGTGGCTTAGAAGGTAGAGTGGGTTGTCTCCTAAATGAAAGGTTGTCAGTTCGATTCCCAGCTTCTCCAATCCACATGTCAAAGTGTTGTTGAGCATGACACTAGACCCCAAGTTGCTCCCAGTGATATCACTGGTCTGTGAGTGCTTGTATGGTGAATAGGAAATAGTGTCAAGTGCTTATCTGCATAGAAAGGTGCTATATAAAACAATTTACATGATCTTTTAACTCAGTTCAGTGTGATGTGATTCACTCCCACTTTCTACTGCTTTGTTGCATCCACTGGGTTTGAGCTTATGGCCTTCTGCACAGTATGACCAACAAACCCAGCAACTACTACAACCACTAACAGCCTTTCAAAGTAAAATTTAAACCTTGGAAATTATTGCAGGTGTTTATCACTATATTGAGACTTAATTTTTAAAAACGATAAAGAAATAAATCACCCAATGAATTGACAAAACTTCCAATGGTGCATTTCGGCAGGTGTACTGCCAATAGCTGCAGTGGCAGCTGGGGCTCATGGGTATTGTAGTATTGTCACCTATCCAATATGCCGAAGTTATGGACAAAACATGACTGCTCAAAAACAAAGGAGAAAAAACTAGAATTAGTGAGAATGGGCCCAGTAGATGGACAGACAACCTGAAAACATAATGCCTCGGTCCACGACTATTACCAGCATGGGGGAATAATAAAGTGGCAAACATGACAAACGTCATCCAGGAGAGTCCTGTGTTTCTGTGCTGAGTGACATCAAGGACATTGTTTAAGGAAACAGTTCAGATTGGAACCTAAAATGGGGAAAAAACAGTAAGAACAGCCAGACTTGACTGAGGACTGTGCACGTGGTGCTGACTGTCTGTGGGGTCACAGTACACAGCAGCACAGCTTCAGCAGGTCTGACTATACTATCTATACGATCCTAGTAACATAATGGTCACACCAGTCGGACTGATAAATCACTCTTCATTGTGGTCTCTCCTCTGCACTTTGAAAAAAATGTCTAACCAAAGAAACTTTCATTTGATTAAATCTAACTATGAAGACAAACTACATCAGACTGAACTAGCTTTTAAGTCGCCTTGTTTGTGAATACACAACAGCGAGCTCAGCTGCTCATCTGCCTGCATCAGTAAATATTTCTGAATAGGTCATAATGGATTAAAATGTATTTTACCACCAGTTAATACACTTCAAATACTGAAATGATAATCAACCGTCCTCAATCTCTGCTCCCCACAACACCTCACTGCATAATTAACTTATAAACTTATGTAAGTGCATCTCATCCTGTTCCTGGTGGTGGTCGGTGCACTACCCTGACACAGGTTAAGATAAGTGTGATTTCTTTTTTTAACTTCCCATTTCAAAGAACATGGCTAAAAAAATTAGTGATAGCGAGCACCAGAGGAATAATCCTAGTTCTCACCGACCCAACAGAAATAGAAAGAAGCGCTGATTCGTTGACTTTCGAGTGAAGATATTCTTCCTAACACCGACACCAACATTGTGCTGAAATGCAAACACTGCAGAATGTAAAAAAGAAAACTTTAAATTGAGTCAGTCTAAATCTAGTCATCATCAGAAATTCTTTTTGTTGCACTGTGTCTTGATGATGCAGTTATGACAAAATGTAATGATATAAAAATGTTTAATTTATAGAACTCGTATGAAAATGTGGTTTCATTTTTGTTAGCTGGGGGAACTATTTTAATGTAAAATGTGTTTTAATAATTCACAAATTCAGTTTTAATGTAATCCTGGCCTCTTTACATTTTCCAGACTTTGTGAATAACTTTCAGGATGTTGTTGCATGTCATGCTGCCATGTTTCCTGTCTTCATCTTCACTGTCAAATACAAAAATATTGTTAAAATAAAACATCATTCTGGTTGCTCTGTTCCATTTCCTATATCTTATTTAGCTGAAATGCTCAGATTCTGAAATGAGAAATCTAGTCTTTGCAAAACATGCTATATGAATTTCAGCAGAGCCAAGTCAGTCAAGGAGACAGGCACTTCAAGTTACTTGTTAATCTAAAATTATAAAGAAAAGCTGAGGGTCCATTTTTGATTTGTTCTGTGATTTGTGTCTCCTGTACTGACTGAACCGAGCTTTGGTTTCCCATCAGGGAGCAGGACAAGGTGCAATATGAACACAACCACGTGTCTGGACAGCTTCAACGATGCTTTCACAAAAAAACTTCTTCACCTTTGTTCTTGGCTTTACCATCAACGGAGTTTTTGTCTACACCTACTTTAAGAATGAGGTCTTCAAGCGAGACCCAAGGTGATAGTAGACAGCGTGCAGTTTATTAGCTGAATGATGTACAAGCCTTCTTTTAGACAAGTGAATTCTTACAATGAAACAGAAGAGATTTGATATTCAGATGTGCTGAACTGAAAGTTGGCTCTTGTAAATGTACTCTATGTATATGATCACATTTTGATTACAACTGATTTAGTGACTTTAACTTAGAGTCAAGTACAAGTTCAACATGATTAAATCTGAGTCGCTGTCCTTTTTCCTATACACCTTTTTAACACCTGGATGTACTGCATTCTGCTCTCCTGCAGGACATCCTGTACATCCAGCTGGTGATCAGCGACATGATTATGCTGACTGTTTCTGTGGTGATGCAAATCTTGACCTTCACCATTCACCTGATCTTGGCTGCATCATGCTGCTCGTCTTAGCCACTACCGAAAAGTAGGTGCGGTTTGTTTTCAACAGAATGTTGATCGGCATGTGTGTTTTGGTGCTCCGGCATCGCCACTTTAGTACATGTGTGTCTCAAAGCCCACCTTCCGCTCCACAGGCCACAGCTGGCTCCTAAATTATAATCTAATATGCAGAACTTTGAAAGAGGAAATGTGTACACCAGTACATGCCAGCAACCTCACAAGGCCTGTGGTTAGCAAATACAGAGTATGAACAAAACTGATAATTGGCATCGACTCCCTGACCACATTGTCCCACACAAACATTACTTTTGACATTTTTAGACTGCAAGTGAAAAAAATAAATAAATCAAGAGCTGACTCGGGACACGTCAGCTTTTAATCAAATAGTTTTTACCTAAAAATGCACAAAATGTAAAGCTTGGAGCAGACTGGTCACAGTTTGTGCCCCATGTTAATGTCATTATGTTCGAGTCGCTTAGTCGCTTACACATCTGCTTTTTTGAAAAATAGAAACCCAGTGATTACTGAAAAACCCAGAAGATTAGGAAGTAACACTGCTGTTTTGAAGGGACATCAACATACAGACTCTTCTCACCACCTGGATGGCGTTCTCACCTCAGGGCTCTGTTATAATGTGCACAGCAGCTCTGGGTCCAAAGAGCTAACAAATCCTTCTCATGTGTGTTTTTATTTGTGTTTTCCAGGAACAGCCCTCTGACCCTGGCTGGCATGGCAGTGGAGCATTACGTTGCTGTTTGCAGACCCCTGCATCATGTCCAGGTCTGCACTGTGCACCGGGCCTATGCTCTGATCTGGAGTGTCTCCTTCATCCTCGTCTTCACAGACGTCGTCATCATCCTCGCCACCCAGCTCCTCTCTGTTTTCTCCAGCACTGTTATCTGTTACGGATACTACGTGTTCAACACAAAATACCACCAGGCTCAGAATGTGGCTCTCCGAGTGAAATACTCATCATTATTTTATTGACTTAATTAGTTAAGCCATGTTTGCAAAATCTCATTGAGATCAGTGTGATCAGTTATAGAGACTGAATACAAATTAGAGCACAGCAAGACAATTCAGTGACACAAGTTATGATGCACATCACCTGGTGTCTATCACTGCAGCAGACATTACAGTGGATTACATTCATTTCCTGGAGACTTGACCCTAACCCTCACCAACTGTGACCATTACCTGCCCAACCCTAAGCTTTACCCTAACCTAACCTCACCATAACCCAAGACATCACCCTAAAATTTTATGCTTTACATTTTGGGGGCTTGCGTTTCATCTCATAAGGAAGTCAAGTCCCCACAATGTGACAATGTAAACAGACACACAGCACATTAATTAAAACAAATATTATTAAAAAATATAAGATTATAAAACTGTAATGAGGCCATGCCTGTGATGACATCCAGCTTTTTCATATAAGATGAAACAAGCTTTGTTGTGGCAAGATATGAGTTTTGTAGGATGATCAGTTTTTTATCGAGTACATCATCCACAACAGCAGCTGTGTCTCGTTACTTTACTGCTCTGGAGCAGTTGATTTTTGCTTTCATTTCATGGCTTAGTTTGAAAAGGTGACAAATTAAAGTGACCATGATTTTGTGTCTTCACTTCTTCAGGTCTCTCTGTTTTCCTTCGTCTTCCTGACTTTGGTCCTCACCTACCTGAAGGTCTTCTTCGCTGCCCAGACAGTTTCTAGGTCGAACCAGGCCTTGGCCAGAAACGCTCACAACACTATCCTGCTGCACGGAGTCCAGCTCTTCATCTGCATGTTGTCATTCATCTTTCCCTTCATCAGCGCCGTTTTAATCACCGCTTGGCCCCAGGACCGCACTAAGATCATCTTCACCACCTTCCTGTTTACCAGTGTGTTTTCACGTCTGCTCAGTCTGCTCACCTACGGCGTCTGAGACAAGAAGTTCAGCATTCACGTCAGGCTGAACTTCTGGTGTAAATGCTGGTGCTCTGCCTGGTGGCAGGATGGCACAGAAGGTCCAAACAGGCATTACACTAACAGGCCTTAAAACACTGTACCAGTGATTCTGTAAATTGTAGCCCAATATCACCAAATGCCTTTGACCATACGAGCTGATTTAGGTGTGGACTGAAAAATCAAAGGGCCAGCAATTACGCAAAATACTGTATTTTTATGTCTTTTAAACAGACTGCTATGATGACTTCAGGCCCAAATGTTACTTTTAAGGGCCAACTTTATTTCAGGCTCAGTGAATGAAGGATCCACAGAATAAAGAGTATAACAACATAAGACAAAACACAGTTAAAACATACTGCAATAATATAAAATAAGGCAGACAAAGGTATTAGCTAAATTGGGGTTTTAAAGAATTTAAAATTTTTGTAATTTTTTATGCAGTTTAATTGAAATGAGTCTTTGTAAAATGCTCCAAAATACTGTATGAATGTTTACTGTCACTGTCCCAGAGTGTCTGAATAAAGAAGAATGCATTAAAACTTCTTTTACTTGAGCAGTTCTCAGTGAATATCCGACTTTGTTCTTTACTGTTGAAATGCTATTAAAGTCTCAAAAAGAAAACACAACAGTTATTTTACATGTTAGTATCTCAATCAACAGCTAAAACATGAAAAACAGCAGAAAATCTGGCAGATTGTTGACTCGTGGTTTTACTGTGTGTGGCAAATCTTTATGGAAGAAGTGACGGTGGTAAAAAGAAGGGAAAGGTTCCAGGAGTCCACGTGGCAAAACCATATGTTGGCCACTAGATGGAGCCATCATCACACAATCAAACATTTCTGAAAGAATGAGAGGCTGTGAGAATTTTACAAGCTCTGATGAAGTCCCACTGGTTGTGTTCTGTTTCAGGACCTTACACAAATATGACTTTGAAAAACAAAACTTTTATTTATTTATTTTTATCCAGCCACGGTGTATACTGTGTGACACCAGGAAGAGGTGGGTACAGGTCTGTCTTTGATATGATGAGGACATACAGTAAATATTTATTTCCTTTTCCTGCTTTTATGAGACTGTTACAGCTATTCATTTTTGGAGTACATGCTACTTGTAGGGTGCCCTCACCAGTTTGGAAAATTTAATTAAGAACATTGGTCACAAAACAAGTAAATAACACAAAATATCTTTTATTTTATGAAATGGACATTAAACTGTCTCTAATGTTAATGAGAAACAGAAAAACCTGCACAAGTTGTCGGGAAACGTTAAGGCCTTGTGTGTAACTGTTGGACGTGTTCTTTTATATTGAAAAGAAAAGACTAATATAAAGATATTTCACTATGTGAAATTTATTATACATTAACGTATCAAAATTATCATGTGCACATGGATCTTCACTGTTTAGGAAAAACAAAAAAGACTGACTCCAACTTAGCGGTATACAATATTTGTATGAAAAGATGTTACTATCTGATTGGTCCAAAACTGTTGGGGAGAAGCCGTGGTTTAAACTTAACTCTCCTGATATTGGTCCTTCAGTCCATCCGTCCTCCAATCATCCTCTCTGCCCCAATGGTTGTAGACAGCGCCCTAAAAAGGGAGGAATACCTATACTGTCTTAATTCCTACATAGACACTTATGTCTTCCTTTGTTTCCAGGGAACTGCTACATTTTAGGCATTGCTTTCCTGTTCCAATAAAACTGCTCTGCCTGTGTGTGT